AATGTATATTAAATCTAGAAAATGATATATATACAATAAATATAAATAAACAAATGTTATATTAATTGTGATATTAATGTTATATTATTAAATATATATAAACAAATGTTATATAAATGTTAAATCATTAATTATATTTAAAAAATTAAATGAATATAAAATATGACCACATCCTAAAGCAACTTTTAGGTAGTGTTGAAATGAATGTGTTAAAATCTGTAAATCTTAAAATGTATGTCAAATATATAAATATATAAAATAATACATGTAAAAAAACTATAATAAATATGAAATTATTACAAAATTATATAAAAAATAGAATAAAATATTTAAGATTGAACATTAAATGAGTTATTTTTATATTTATGAAGGAATTATATTTATATTGTTGTATATTAATATGTAAATAAAATGTATAATGAATGTTAATATATAAATAGATAACATAATAAATAAATGTAACAAAAAAATTATTACTAAACATCAAGTTATTAAAAAAAAAAAATAGATTAAATGTATACCAAAATTAAAAAGATAAAATATTTATATAATTAATTATGAAAAATACACAATCTACCTGTCAGCTGTTTAAGCTAAGACACATCTGAACAACCACCAAAACCAGCGGTCTCCAATTTGAGAGACCAGGCAGACCAGCTTAAACCAGCTAAAACCAGCTAAAACCAGCACAGCACCTCAGGCTTTCATAATCAGGGTATTTTCCAGCTAAGGTCCTGCTGGCTATTTAAAGAGGCAAACGGAGGCAACAAGTGAATTATTTTGCAGGGAGGAGCGTTCATTTTGTCCTTAAATCTGTCAGAGATGTGTGCAATTTGGAGTTCTGGGTTCAGAGTAATTGGGAGCTGAGTAGCGCTCTCAGTGTGTTTGAAGGGATCAGCCGTCTGCTGCAGTGCAGCGTTAAGCCCAACAAATTGCTCTGTTTCCTGCTGAGGAGGCGCATCTCATTTGCTCTAAAGTGGCCTGTGAAATACATCGAGAGTCAAGGTGCAAATCCTCCAGCGTCAGGAGCGACAAGCTCTCGCTCTCACGAGAGGAAAAAACACAGTCGCTCGCGTCTTCAACTCTAAACGCTTCTCGTGACAGACGGAGTCGTGACTAGCGTTTCTCACTGCATACTGATGACGGATCGAGACGCAAAAATGAGTCTCGGGTCTGTTCTGATGGGTCAGGAAAAAACAGCACTGAATGTTAATAATAACATGCAACTAATCATACAGTCATGTAAACAAATTTGGGGTATGATTTTTTTTTTTTTAAGGAAATTAATGCTTTTATCCAGCAGGGATGCAGTAAACTGATCAAAAGTGTCAGTCAAGACATTTATAATGTTACAAAATATTTATATTTCAAATGAATGCTGCTCTTTTGAACTTTCAATACATCAAATAAACCTGAAAAATAAAATGTATCACGGTTTCCTCAAAAATATTGTGCAGCACAACTGTTTTCAACATTGATAATAATCAGAAATGTTTCTTGAGCAGCAAATCAGCATATTAGAATGATTTCTGAAGATCATGTGACACTGAAGACTGGAGTAATGATGCTGAAAATACAGCTGCGCATCACAGAAATAAATTACAGTTTAACAGATATTCACATAGAAAACCGTTATTTTAAATTGTAATAATATTTCACAATTTTACAGATTTTACTGTATTTTTGATCAAATAAATGCAGCCTTGCTGAGCATAAGCTCCTCAAATATATAAAAAATAATAATATTTTTGTTGTTGACGTTAAATTACATTTGAGTTAATTTCTACACAAAACTGAATTTTGTTACTGAGTTTGGTCATCAAATGTAAATCAGCTTCTTGAAGAACACTAGTTTGATGAATCGATAAGTACAAAGCACACAGAACAGACGGCATGGCATATCGGCAAACAAACGTGAAGACGAGAAAAGATCTGAAACTCACTTAGCATCTATTCTCTGAGTGTGAAAACTAAATAAACCCTCTCACACACTTAATAAGCTCAATTCAATAACACACTTAGCTAGTGCTGAACTCACTGGAGAGCAGGAGGAAGCTAAATCTGATTTAAGATTACACATTGAAGGAAGAAAATTAGATTCATATTTTTAAATGTTTGTTAAATAAATAAATTAATAAATAAAAATTAATTATAATAAAATTACAATGATAAAATATCTAAGATTGCACACTGAATGAGGAAAATTATATGTATAATTTTAAATTTATATTAAATACATAAATAAATAATAAATACATTTTATATTTAAATGAATAAATGAATGAATAAAAAAAATAAAAATAATAATAATAAATAAATAAATAAATACATAAATAAATAAATACATATTTTTTAAAATAATCTATATAAATATATATATACAGTGGGTACGGAAAGTATTCAGACCCCCTTAAATTTTTCACTCTTTGTTATATTGCAGCCATTTGC